CTCCCCCAGAGCAACTTGCCGGACCAGGCCTCAGAGGGTGCAGTCTTTCTCTTCCCCATCAGCGCAACTGGAAAAGGCAGTGAAGCCTTCAATGACCCCAGGAAAGTGCACAGTACTCTGAGAAATAACTTCAAGGGGTGGAACTCAGTGGGGGTTAACGCATGTGGCAGACGTGTACCCCAGACCCTGTTTTGGGGGACAGAGAGCTCACGGGCACAGCCCCTGCTTCCCCACCTTCCCCAGCAGCGGTTGCTAGGCAGTGACACCCACACTGTGCCTCCAACACCAGATGACAGACCAGCGCTGCCAAAACCAGATGCTACAGAGTCACCAACGGCAAGAAAGTCACACAAATGCATAGCAGAACGGGAACTTCCAGCTAGCTTCCCACAGTGAGTCTGGCATAGCAGATGCAAGGGAAGGAGAAACAGAGAAAGAGAACACCATAGCGAGCCTGACACTGGTAATGAAGCCCTGAGGATGTTGGGGCCACCCAGGTGGTGTGACCCAGGGTGGGCCACAGTCCTAGTGCCACACAGAAGGGTGCTTGATTCCCTGACTGCAGCGTGGCGTTGACACGGTCAATACTGTGAGCCTGACACCAGACACAAGCTCACCTCTGACCCCAAAGACAGGCTGCAACACCTCCCACCCCAAGCTGGTGAATCCCCTCTCTGCATCCAGACCTGAGTACACTGATCGGCCAGCGACCCGAGCTGTGTGTGAGACACTGAGTCCGGCGTGTGTGAGGCACTGAGTCCAGCCGTGTGTGAGGCACTGAATCCGGCGTGTGTGAGACACTGAGTCCGGCTGTGTGTGAGGCACTGAGTCTGGCCGTGTGTGAAGCACTGAGTCCAGCCGTGTGTGAGACACTGAGTCCAGCCGTGTGTGAGACACTGAGTCCGGCGTGTGTGAGGCACTGAGTCCGGCCGTGTGTGAGGCACTGAGTCCGGCCGTGTGTGAGGCACTGAGTCCGGCGTGTGTGAGACACTGAGTCCAGCCGTGTGTGAGGCACTGAGTCTGGCCGTGTGTGAGACACTGTGTCCAGCCGTGTGTGAGGCACTGAATCCGGCGTGTGTGAGACACTGAGTCCGGCTGTGTGTGAGGCACTGAGTCCGGCGTGTGTGAGACACTGAGTCGGCGTGTGTGAGGCACTGAGTCCGGCGTGTGTGAGACACTGAGTCTGGCCGTGTGTGAGGCACTGAGTCCGGCGTGTGTGAGACACTGAGTCCGGCTGTGTGTGAGGCACTGAGTCCGGCGTGTGTGAGGCACTGAGTCCAGCCGTGTGTGAGGCACTGAGTCGGCTGTGTGTGAGGCACTGAGTCCGGCCGTGTGTGAGGCACTGAGTCCGGCCGTGTGTGAGGCACTGAGTCCGGCCGTGTGTGAGGCACTGAGTCCAGCCGTGTGTGAGGCACTGAATCCGGCGTGTGTGAGGCACTGAATCCGGCGTGTGTGAGGCACTGAGTCCGGCGTGTGTGAGGCACTGAGTCTGGCCGTGTGTGAGGCACTGAGTCCGGCGTGTGTGAAGCACTGAGTCCGCCGTGTGTGAGACACTGAGTCCAGCCGTGTGTGAGGCACTGAATCCGGCGTGTGTGAGGCACTGAATCCGGCGTGTGTGAGGCACTGAGTCCGGCGTGTGTGAGGCACTGAGTCTGGCCGTGTGTGAGGCACTGAGTCCGGCGTGTGTGAAGCACTGAGTCCAGCCGTGTGTGAGACACTGAGTCCAGCCGTGTGTGAGACACTGAGTCCAGCCGTGTGTGAGACACTGAGTCCGGCGTGTGTGAGACACTGAGTCCAGCCGTGTGTGAGGCACTGAATCCGGCGTGTGTGAGGCACTGAATCCGGCGTGTGTGAGGCACTGAGTCCGGCGTGTGTGAGGCACTGAGTCCGGCGTGTGTGAGGCACTGAGTCCGGCTGTGTGTGAGGCACTGAGTCCGGCGTGTGTGAAGCACTGAGTCCAGCCGTGTGTGAGACACTGAGTCCGGCCGTGTGTGAGACACTGAGTCCGGCCGTGTGTGAGGCACTGAGTCGGCTGTGTGTGAGACACTGTGTCCGGCGTGTGTGAGGCACTGAGTCCGGCCGTGTGTGAGGCACTGAGTCCGGCGTGTGTGAAGCACTGAGTCCGGCCGTGTGTGAGGCACTGAGTCGGCTGTGTGTGAGGCACTGAGTCCGGCCGTGTGTGAGGCACTGAGTCCGGCGTGTGTGAAGCACTGAGTCGGCTGTGTGTGAAGCACTGAGTCCGGCCGTGTGTGAGACACTGAGTCGGCTGTGTGTGAGAAACTTGAGTCTGACTGTGTGTGAGACACTGTGTCTCACTGGGTATGAAGCAGACATGTCTCGCTGTGTGAATGCTGTAATAAAAGGCAGAAGTTTGAGAGACCAGCACATGCCACAGAGAACTGTCACATTCGTTCATCCTCGAGTCTGTGGTGGCCCACCTCTCTCATGAGAAGGGGCCTCACCTGTCCACTCCCTGTGGACCCCAACCAGACCCCCGAGGACTTGCCTCAGAGGGGTCCCTGCCTCCCAGCCAGAGGCATGTCATCCTTGCCACACAGCAGTGAACCTTTGAAAACCACAGGTGACAACACTCTGTGCTACCGAAACCCCACACTAGCGACCTGGGCATGACTTCTCTTTCTCAGGGATATGGACTCAACTGCGTGAGATGACAAGCGTGTTAACTAACAGGTTGTAGTCATTTCACAGTGCAGACAAGTATCAGACTCACCCATGCATCTTACACACGTAAAATCTCATTTGTTCACTGTAACTCAGTGAGTTTGGGGAAATACAACCTACATGCAGAGTGACCACACAGTCCTTTCTTCAAAGACTTAGCAATAATTGCCAATTGTAAAACCGAAGCCAAAATTTCACCAAAGTCTCAGACAAAGGATAAGGTGGACGTCCCACAGGTTTATATTCTCACAGATGGACCAGGATCCCAGGAGCACTGTGCCAGCTACGCGGTCTGGTCCTTGGCTGCCCCAGAGCCACCGCTGCTTCAGGAGTGCCATGCTGGAGACCAGGTGCAGCTGCACGCACGCATGGGTGAGCCAGCCCAGGGGGGCTGCCTCCACCCACACAAGCTCCTCCTCAGCCCCTCGTCCTAAAGGCGTCCTCTCTTCTTCAGCTGCTAAAGGATTTGTCTTTGCTTCCATTATGGGATGTGTCCCAGGCTGCAGCATTTGTGTGTCAATGAGCCTGTCCACTCTGGCCATGAGCTGATTCAGGACAGCCCAGTCTGTGCCTCCATCACTTAGGGATTACAAGGTGAAGGAGACAAGTGGAAGACACCACCTAATCAAAATGCATTATCTCCCCATTCATTCAACAAGGGAAGTCATAAGGACTAGAGAAACGCAGAGAAGAATCAGCTGCCTTCAGATAGTCTTTCACACACCCTTAAGTTACCAGTATCCTCCGTTCTCAGTAACACTACACCAAGAGGCGTCAGACCCTGCCACCACCCTCAGTAACAAGTCAGTATAGGACACGTGCTGCCCGAGCATGGCGTCAGCGCAGAACATGGAGCAGAACAAACTTCTTTTGAAGGCAGAACAACTTCTTCATGCTCTAAGACAGTGTGCAAAAGTATGCCATGAAGAACGGCTCCTGCGGAGGCCAACGTGCTTCTCCATGGGACAGAGCACAGCAGGCTGTGTCTTCCAGCATCTTCCAACTGCCCATTACCCTAGGCTCTGATGGCAAACGTTCCTCCTGACACTCTGAGGACCAGTCCGTCCTCAGTGCCTCTCTCGCCACTCACAGCATCTCAGGCTCAGGTGCAAAGTACACCTGTTCCGGTTTGTCCATCCATGGTTTCGGAAAGTGATTAAATCATCTGTACTGCGATCTTAAACACTGCTAACTGACTCTAACCTCATTCTAAGCTCAGTACGCATCACAAACCGAAAAACACAAGAAAACGTAAGGTTGTGTGCAATACTTAGAATTTATCTTGTGACTCAAAGTCATCCACCACTCTTCTGTCTTACGTCGTTTTGAAAATGTGGGATATAGTTTGATATTTTGGTTATTAGTTGAGAGACTTGCCTCAAAAAAACCACGAAGAACGTAACATCATGCTATGAAAACGAGCCTATTCAGCAGCTCGCCAACCCGAATGACTGTCCACGCTGGGGGCGGGCGGGGGGCGGGGAGAGAAAAGCAGAAGAGAGTTCAGAGCAGTTAGAGCTGGCGCTCGCTACACTGTGTTTTTGTGGCCCAGGCAGATGTGCACATCCGGCCAGAAAGGCTCAAGTCTTCCCTGCTGCTGTCTTGGATCACGTGAGAAACAGATTACTCTGACAGGTTAAAGCTCATTTAAGGCATGAGGTTTGCTGAAAGTTCCATTTGGTACATTTTTGTGAGCATTGGGGACTGAAAGCAGGGCCTTTCTTACCACTTGAGCCATGTCCCCAGACGCTCAATTCAGAGACAGAGGCCAAGAAGGGAAAAAGCTTAACTAGCCTCACTGAGCATGGCAGTGCTAATCCCAGCACACCAGAGTCAAGGCAGGAAGGTCACCAGACGCGGATAGAAATCTGCAGCCTGGGCCTGGAGATGAGGCTCAAGCGATAGAACGCCTTCTGGAAAGCACCAAGCCCTGACTTCAAATCCTGCACCTGTCTGACAAATGCCAAGCCCTGAGTTCAAACCCCTGAACAACGTTTCGTAGTAATAATTGCATAGTGACTTCTATGCAATGCTGAGACTTTGCCATCTCTCAGTAGGAAGCTCCCAAGTTCACGCTGCAATTCGGTACCAGAGATACTACCTGAGCCTGAGTCCTGCCCTGGTCAGCAGGCAATGCAGGAGAGGTACTTCTAGTGGCCAGTGTGTAGAGGAGCCCAAGGCGGGGCACAAGGTCAAAGCATAAATATGGGCTCTGGACTGCACTGCCCTGACAGGTCTACTGTGTCAACCTGGTTCTAAACAGAAGCATCAGAGCTCAGGCGGCCGCGGCTTGCAGGGCGTTGGCACGTGTCACTTACGTGGCTTCACGTTTGCCATCACCGCCAGGCTTTCAGGCGAGTGCACAGCGGAGAACCTGCAGTGCTCTCCCGGGCCAGGACTGCTGCTGTACTCGATCACATCCACGTGTCCCAGGGGGACACTCCACTTGAGCAGGTACCTCTGGCTGGTCACAGCATGGCTGTCGTGCAGGCTGCTGGAACCACAGGAGGACTGTGACTTTGTGAATGACAGGTGGATGCTTCTAACACTGCCCACCCTCAGACACCACACAAGGAACACTCTAACTGTGGAGTTAGACTCCTGGCTTTCTTTCTAACAGCTGCCATGGGCTCCATGGTGGGCCTCCAACTGGATGAGTGCAGGAACCCTCCCAGCACTCTCAGCCAGACAAAAAAATTCACTGATAATGGGACGTGGTACCTGCCCAGCAAGTGCAAACAAAGCTCTGAGCTCAAACTCCAGTACCACCAAAAAAAAAAAAAAAAAAAAAAAAAAAAGACCTAAAACAACAACAGAAATACTTACAGAAGCAGCTGAGGGAAGAACTCAGCCCAGAGCCCGACCTGCAGACAGGAGCTTCTGCCGGCCAAGGCTCAGCCCAGCCCCCCGTCCCTTTAAACTAAGCGTGCTTGCTGCACGTCTCCCTCAGTGGCAGGGCTGGGTGTGCTAGCAGAGCGGCTCAGCTTGCCTCCCTTGCTCTGGATGTACATGCATGTCACTAAGGCCAGCACGTCCTTACCGGGAGCTGACCGTGGCACACATCAGCACGTCATTCAGCATGAACAGCCGGCGCTCCTTGGTCTTCATGATTTCTCCTCTGTCGTTGTAAACGGTCTCTATCACATCATCAGATCGGATGAGGTACCGACTTCCACTGCTGAGGAGCTGGATGTGCAGAAGACATCTGACAGTCACCACAACCCCAATGTGAAAGGATGTGCAAAAGTCTCACCCCTCATCCCTCCCACTCCCCTCAGGCATGGATGCCCTGGGTTTACAACGTGACTGTGAACTCCACATCTCACAGACATGCAGTCTGTGTGGCTGCACTATGCAGAGAAGGATCTAAAATCCCTGCAGAGAGGATTCCCACGCTGAAACGGTGGCTGGCACAGTCCCTGCTCTGTTCACCTGTCCTCACACTGCTCTTCCACTCACTCCAGCTCCCGCACCTCGGTCAGTGCGGCCTTCTCACTGACTTTCTAAAGATGCTCAGGCAGCATCTGCACTTCTTACAGATGCTATGCTGTTCCACCAAGACAACCAGGGCACAGGAACGATGTTCTGTGCCGGTCAGTCCCATGGCACGCCGCCCCGCACTGCGAACAGCGTATCCAATGGGAAACGCAGCGTTCTCAGCCCAGGTGATTGCTGCCACCTTCTGATCCCACCCCTGTGCTGGACGCCAGCCCCGCAGCTGGGCAGCCAGGCCGCGTGCTCACGTGTGCACGCCCGGGCTGCGGGCCCCTCCTCCACCCACACGTGCCTCCATGCCCTCAAGCACCAAGAACGCAACTGATCGCAAGTCCCTGTTCACAAAAATTCCACATGAATCATGGGGAGACTGGGGAACCTGCTGCTGAAAACGCTGTCACAAAGTTCCCAGAGTGAAATTACTGGACGCTATGATGGAGAAATTACCCCTACTGAGAAAAAGAGACTGTGGCTTTAGCACGACCAACACTGCATGCAATTAGGAACACCTCCCCATGGACCAGGCCCTGCGTGGGCATGGGAGGCCCACGCGGATCAGCGGGCTCCTGCGGGAACGCATGTGCTGATACCAAGCTGAAACACAGCCGGCAGAGGACCCACCCTCACCCTGCGTTCCGCACGTCACTTTCACGACAAACGCAGCTTAGACACGCACTGCTGAAGCAAGCGGGGAATTCTGAAGGCGAAGTTTAGCTAAAAAGTTGCTCTCAGCCTCTCTGGGGTCCGCGCTCACCCGGGAACTAATGCCCCCAGTGCCCTCCCGAGGACAGCGCACAGCCCGCCGAGCCCGGCACACCGTCCTCAGCGTCCGCCACACCGTCCTCAGCGTCCGCCACCCCGCAAGGTCCCGTCGACCCCACTTAAAACTCTGGCCAAGGGCAACGTCCCACATGACTGTTAGTAAGCGGCTGAAGTGACGCTGGCTTGTTAGTACGAAGCAGAAGTAACTTCAGCAAGGGTTGAAACACATCTCTGTCAACCTTGTTCAGGTATCGCTCGTTTATGGCTTTTGCTATTTGTTTGATCTCACAGCGCTGGTCGGCATCCCTCTTCCTCTCGTTCAACTTCTCCGCCAAGGTTTCGAGCTCTGTCAGCGCCATCTGAAGGGGTAGCCGGTCGGGGTGTCCTTTGGAAGTGTTCTTCAGCATGTCCTGTGAGCGAGGAGGCAGAGCGTGGGCCGTTACCACACCCGTCTCCACCGCACAGGTGCAGGTCACTCACGGTCTGACCAGAAGGAAGCATTGCACTCGGGAGGGCGGTAAGCTGGTGCAGCACCAAGCAGCTCCGTGTGCAAAAAGTGCAAGAGGTCTATAACCGGCGCTGCTGGTGAAAGGACAGCGTCTGGCAACGCAGGACTTGCCGCCGTCTCGAGGGTCTGCACTGTGTCTAGGATTAAACGTCAGGCTGTCTTCCTTGATGTGCAGGACAGATGCACCAACACATAAAGGAGTCTAGCTCCTTTTTCAAAACAGCAGTTTCCCAACACCATTAAACACCTGCGTGCACTCACCCAGCAGGGTCTACTGTCCCCACACTGAAAAAGTAACCTGGCCTCAGGGGGCAGAGCCTCTGTGGATGCTGCCACCGTGCGGGCAGACCTCAGTGTGCCACCACACAGAGAGACCTCGGTGCACCGGGCAACAGTGCAAGGTCCCACCTCAGACTGTCATAGTCCATCGTGCCTCACACACACCGCCTTTCCCAAATTGGAGACTGCAGCCCCGTGTCCAGCAGCCCCAAGATGAAAGGCCCATGACACTGACTGCCCAACAGCATTTGTCACTTTGGATCTCGGTGTCACATTTTAAATCTCACTTGTGTCAAACCTTTTCACTGTGATGTGTCTGTTATGGGAATCTGTGAGCAGCGGTCTCTGACGTTACTATGTAACTGTCTGCTTAACGGTGAGGCCCGCGACCCTCAAGCCTGGTTAAGGACCTAGTCCTACAAGAGCGGTCTGCTGGCTGCCATCCTCAGCAAGGCTGGGCTCTGTAACGTGAGGGCCCTGCCCTTGGTGACAAATGCTGCTCCCCTCGAGCTAACGCTGTTGTCAACACATTACAGCTCAGGAAACACAAGCAAAACAAGGCTAAAACACAGGTTGGATGTGGTGGGGCACACCTGTAATCCCAGCTAACTGGGAAGTGGAGGTAGGAGGGATGCAGTCTGAGGCTGACCCAGGCAAAGTTAGTAGGAAACCCTACTTGAAAAACAAACTAAAAGCAAAAGACTGGGGTTGGGGGGGGCTGTAGTTCAATGGCTAGAGTGCTTGGCTAGCAAGCGTGAGGCTTGAGTCCAGTCCCCAGCACCACAAAACAGTAGATAAACAACAATTAAAAAATAAAGACGAAACACATTTTCTGGATACTTTGGTATTAGAGAAACAACAGCTTGTGCTATCAATATTCTAAAACAGAGTAACTGTACACTCGAAAACGTGAGATATCAGAAAAAAAAGAAAAATGGCCTATTAGCCTAACACAGAAACACTTGATATCGATATTCTAGCGTTTTTCACACTTTTATGACTACTTTTAGTTAAAAGACACATTTCACACAGATTTGTCTGGATAGAAAATAAAAACCCCAATGGACGGGGCCTCAGCAGTGCCTCTCAGATGCCCGCTCACCTGGGAGGGACAAACCCTGCTCATCCGGCAGCCATGGTACCAAGCCGCGGACCCGGCTGGCTGTCCTGCAGGGACAGCAGGGACTCCATGCAGGAGGAGGCCTGCGGGGACACCTCTGAAATGCATTTCTGCAGTGCTGGTCACTGAACCCAGAGCCTTGTGCAGACTAGGGAAGCGCTCTACCCAAGTCAGGTCCCCAGCCCTCAAACACACGCTCTAATGCAAGCCCTGGCGGCACAAGGTTGAGTGTCAAGACTTTGACAAGGCTAAGTGCACTTTGGGGCTCATGTGGACTTGGTGGGGAGACAAATGGGCTGGGCATAGACTAGTGTGTCACACGAGAGGGCTCAGATCTGCATTGCAGGGATGGATGGATCCCCAGAAAACACTAGTGCCTCCCAGTTCTGGGGGCTTGTTGAATAACTCAATGACTGACATAAATCTGCTTCTCTGTTTAAATCTGCTCCTAGCTTCCCAAGCCTGTCCTCACACACTGGCCCAGAAGAGCAAATCCCTTTCCCACATGGCTCTGGGCTGCACGTGGCTGCTGACAGCCCCACGAGAGCACCGGCCAGGGGACACGTGACACCCTCTGGGTAAGGTCGCCCACTTACAGGTGGGTGCTGAGGCTCTGCAGCTGCCTCTCCCACCCCCGGCCTTTCATGTGGAGTAGCAGGTCCCCCCCTTGATGGACAGCCGAGGCGGGGACCGGAGGCAGACATACCTGCAGCAGGAGGATGAACTGTGGGAACCGCTGGATGGGTTTCATCATGAGGCTGTAAAGGGTGACCCGGTCTGGGCTGCTCTCCTGGCTCTGCTGTGGGGACATTTGGCTTGTCACTGCAGCCAGTGGGGCCAGGCTGTCCCAGCCAAATGTGGAGGGCAAGGACGCAACTGCCCAGCTACTCTGGACCGGCTGCTTACTATAGCTCACCACGGAGAAAATGCCCTCGGGTGTGTGGGAAGCACCTTCTACCTGCCCCAGAGGACTTGCTGTCCCTCCCTGCCCTGAGGGGTTACATCTCACTGCCACAGGCCCTGCTCTGGGAAGGACAGATTCCAGTATCCCTGAGTGTTGGGGCTGGCCAGCAGGCCGCAAGAGAGGACGGTCACCTCTCCACTGCTTAGGGCGGAAGGTTCCTCCTGGACCCTGAGGACACCTTAGCCCACCGCTGAAGATGTCACCAGGCAAGACCACTGACAGCTGAGGCTGGGGCAGCCTTGACCCTGGGCAAAACCTGGGGCATCTCCATTGAAAGGAACCATCCAGAGGAACAGCCTGGCTCAGAGCCTGTGTCCAAGGCGGCCTCATACCCTAAAGACTGATGGTCCGGGGCTGTGGTCACTGCCACACCAAGGTTGACATCCTCAGCAACTCCATAACAAAATCTTAACTCCGTCGTGTGTGCTTTCCCCGCAAAGGAATGAGAGACTGGGACAGCAAAAGGACAAAGTGGTGTGCCTTCCAGAGCTGGGGTACAGAAGACCTCTATGGGCTGGAACAGCGGGGCCACTGTGTCCATCAGGAGCAGAGGAGGGGACGAAGTTCCAATTCAAGAAAATACTGCCCTGTATTCACTCACCCCAGGTAGCACAAGTTTCTAAGAACAAGGTCCAAGTAACAAGAACTCTGTGTTCCAGGGTCTTATAATGCAAATGAATCAGGCTGGGTGGGTACAGCCTTTAAAGGGACTCTCATCTGCTCCACGTGCAGAACCCTCCTCTGTCCAGGTCTAGACTGAGCCCTGGCCCACACCAGCGGCACAGCCAGACGCCAGCAGCGGGAACAAGACCCTGTTCCGCCAGCCTCGAGGCTCTGCCTTCCCAGGCCTTTGCCTCCTGTTCTGAACCCTGAGTCCAGATGACCCCCCACCACCCGAATCCAGATGCTGGAGTTCCCTTATTCCTGACATCAAGCTGAGGACAGGAAGGCTAAGGCAACTCTGGGGTCTGACCTCACTTCTTCCTGTGAACCCACTTTTAAGGAATGGGCAAATGAAAATTATTCAAAAAGCTGCATTAGGCCTGAAATTCACCTTCATTTCAAGGCTATGCCCATATCCCGGACTCTGCTGGCACTGAAACCCTTGTAATATGTGCATTTAGAGGCAAGGTTTGGCCAAGTTTCATTACAGGCACCTTGACTTTGGGATTCATTATGAGAAGTGTTAAAGAAAAAAACGAATGTGCTTACCTTTAAAAATTCAAGAAAAGCAGGCTTGGTGGCACATGTTTTCCTGAGGACTGCCATAGCAGTGCTGAAATTGTTCACGTACTCACTGTAGGCACCCAGCACCATGGACTTGGAAAACTGAAATACAAGACGACTGAGGGAGAAGCAGTGTGGACAGTTCAAGTGCTCCCTCTCTGACCCAAACAGAAGGCCCGAGGCCGCCCAGAAGCGTCCCTCCAGCCGGTGAACTGTGACCCACCACAGGGTTAGCCACTGTGCACAAGGCACATCCTCCTGCCAGCCTGCTGGGAATGCACCTGGCTCTGCAGACCCCACATGCTGTCAGGAGTCCCTCTCCAAACCTCACTAATCTGGGTTTAGGTAAGAAAGGACCAGACTACAGACAAAAAAAGGTGGTAGTTACAGACACCCTTCTTTTAAATTCCTGCCGAGTATCCCCTGGGGTGCAAGCTCCGGGTGAGAACAGGGTCACGATACAAGGTCCCTGGAGAAGGCGCACTGCCAACCCCGGCAGGACAGGACAGGGCAGGGCAGGGGACTGGCTGCACTTCTCCCGGCTGAGGTCCATCCGTGTATGGTCACCTCCCTATGTTCCTAAAATCACAAAGGTTTCCAGAGGCAGGAGTGTGTGTCCTGGTACCAGCTTTTAGAGATACAAACTATCTGCTCTTGGGGAAGGTACCGCACATCCTCAGGAACGGCCAGCAGCACCTGCGGTGTCACCCGTGTGACTGCTGCCTACTGGAGCACACGTTCACCGAATCAGAGTTTAAAAAAGATTGTTTCCACCTTAAAACGTGTTCCCAAGGTAGACAATTTGTTTCCAAGATAACTTTTTTTTTTGGTGGTGGTACTGGGGCTTGAACTCAGGACCTTGTGCTTACTAGGCAGGCGCTTTACCACTTGAGCCACGCCTCCAGCCCAAAGGTAGACAATTTGAAGCTATTATGCATCACAGGCAAAAACGTAACAACAAAGTAAGCATCCAGTACTTTTTTGCCTGTCGCAGGAACCGTGCAGTGCATTCTGCAAATGCTTCGGCAACGACTTCCAGTTCCACAGCAGCTTCAAAGCACCCTGCGATGCACACACCTCAGCAAGCACTCACACGAACGTACAGGACAAACGCTTTCTCCAGATGTGGGAGCGCGCGCCTGTAATCCCAGGACTTGGGACACAGAGGCAAGAGGATCTCAAGTTTGAGGCCAGCCTGGGCTGCGTGAACTTTTAAAAAATTCTCTCAAGCTTGAACTCCTCACTACCTTAAATAATTAGAGAACCAATCTGCTTCATCTGTGACCTTCCAGCTGAGACAGAGATCTAACCTTCATGCACTAGGCATGACTTGTGCAGAGCAGACATACAATGACACAAAGGGACACGGGCCAAGGATCCCAGAGCCGCTGCTGCGACACTGCGTCCTGTGTCACAGTGAGGGCCAAGCCTGGTCACACAGTAAGAGCTCCACATCAAAGAGGAAAACTCGAGGAACCCGCTGCCTTTCCTGCCATTCCCAGGCAGAGGGCTCTGCGCACACAAAGTGAGATGAGTCGGGGTGGGGGGCACATCCAGCAACAAGAAGTGCCACCAGTCACACAGTGGTGCACCGGGCATGAAAAGGCCAGGCGTGGCGGGCCACGCCTGTAACCTCAGCTACTGAGGACGTGGACATTGGGAGGGTGGAGATTCGAGGCCAGCCCAGACAAAAAAGTTCCTGAGACCCCATCCCCATCCCAATCAACCATCCAGGTGTGGAGGTGCACCCCTGCCACCCCAGCTCCATGAGAACTGTCCAGGCCGGCCTGAGCATAAACAAGAGACCCCATCTCAAAAATAACCAACACAAAAGAGGCAAGAGGTGTGTGTGGTAGAGCACCTGCCTAACAAGGGTGAGGCCCTGGCTTCAAATCCCAGTATTACCACAAACAGTAAAAATAAACATAAGTATCTTTAAACCTCTCCAGATACGCCTTCCGTCCTGAGCCTGTCCGAGTGTCCCCCGGACGCACCCTGCCCCTTCCTGCGTCAGCTCCGAACCACATCCTGACCCTGACCCCACGTGGAGACCCCACCCGTGACAGGCACCCTGTGAACAGGCCTGGGGGGGAAGGCAGCAAGTTACCGAGGCCACGAAGACGTCACCGATGGTTTCCACGGCGTCCCACTCGGCCACGCGGCTGGCCAGCGCGATCTGGAACATGCAGTGACACTGCAGGATCTCCCTGATGCGGTGGAAGACCGTCCGCAGCTTCCTCTCGCTCAGGACCCGTGGCTCCATCGCCGACAGCGGCTTCTCGTAGTGCTGAGCCCAGCAGGTGGCATCGGCCGGGCCGGAGGAGGGGACATGTCACTCTCCATGTACACAGGGATGTTCGTCCCAAGACCAAACCCCTGCCGCCGACAGTGATGTGCAGCCGTGACACTCACACGCTTGAGGGTTTTATGCTTATGAACTATGTGCACACAGCCTAAGTGATCACACAAATGCCCACAAGGAAAGGGATGACCCAGGGCACGCGGTGAGGGGACACCACGTCGAGCTACCTCCACGATCCTCTGCAGTGCGCCCACGTAGTTCTTCTCGCTCTCCACAATGGAGCCCAGGATATACCGTCTCACCACCTGCGGGACGTGAAGACAGGCAGTGCCAAGGCTTCAGAATCCCACAGCCTTTTTACGTCGATGTTCAGGTGCACTGAGCAAAAAGGGTTGTTTTTAAACAGCAGGTAAAGGAAGCCTCCAAAGGCCTTCAAAGTATTCAAACAGAATGCAAATTAAACACATTACGGGGGCAAACATGCTTCCCCATTAGCACAACTGCATTCTTCTTTAAGCCTCAAGTTACACCTCCCAACAATAGCACAAAAATAAAATTATAGCACTAAAAGTAATTCTTTCCCTTATGCAACGATGAACTGAATGAGCTGATCTTATTTTGTGCCCAACACTATGTTAGATGATATTTCATACAGAAAAGCAATTCCAGCCAGGCACTGTGGCTCAGGCCTGTAATCCCGCGACTCAGGAAGCAGACATCAGGAGGGCTGAGGTTCAAAGCCAACACAGACAAAAAGTTAGTGAGGCCCCCATCCCAACCAATAAGCTGGGTGAGGTAGCAAGCCCTGTAATCCCGTCTTCTACTGGGAGGCATAAATAGAAGGGGTCAGGGTACATGCAGGCCCCAGGCAAAAACCTGAGAGCCTATCCAAAAACTAGGGCTGATGGAGTGGCTCAAGTGGTAGAGCACTGGGCTAGCAAGCACAAGGTTCTAAGTTCAAACCCAAATACTGCCAAAAGAAAAAACAAAAACAGTAATTTCAGTCTTGACCAAATAAAGCTATTTGCAACAGTTATCTAAAATCATGATTTCAGCCAAAGTTCCAGAAAACAAGGGTTGTGGAAGGAAGAGACAGACCTGTGACCACACAAAGAGACGCCTGCACTGAACAGCACGTCATTTTCTGATTTTCTCATTAAAATCACAAGGATGTGGAGAATAAACTTGTGACGGGAAGATGCAGAAGGCCAAGCACACTGGACGCTGGCACTTTCAGAGGCCTGGGCACATGCCAGCCAGTGTCACCTGCCATTAGTGCTGCTAAGCATGCACACGCGCATACACACACGTGTACACACAAGCACGTGAGCCCATGTGCCAGCACACCTCACCACAGCGCACACAGCACACACTGCGTGTACACACACACACACACACACAAAGCCCATGTGTACACGGGCACACGAGCCAGCACACCTCACCACAGCGCACACAGCACACACTGCGTGTACACACACACACACACACACAAAAGCCCACGTGTACACGAGCCAGCACACCTCACCACAGCGCACACACGGCACACACAAAGTGTCCAGGCCTTGCCACTAAGGGACACCATTTGAAGACACTGCAGCGCCCCCTGGGGGGCACACCGAGGATTTCCACCCGGAATCCCTGCACAAACAGATGCCAGGGCACCAGTGGTTGTTTATACAACAGGAGGGAGGTCTTGTCCGTTCACAGAAAGGACGACATTTTTACTTCACAAGACTAAGACAAAAATAAACCCTTGCAGGGTACTAATGGAACTGATGTATTTTATAAAAATACAGGCGTGGTGTGGCTGGGGTTAGAAATGCACCCAGAGGATTAAAACGAAGTCCAGCTTGTGAGCAGCCCCAAAGCCAATCATGACCTTGGCTGGGCAGACCACGCACTTTAAAGCGACCCACCCAGGCTGTCCTCCCTCCAAAACCCAGATTCCCAGTCGCTCTCCTGGGGCTCCTGACTCACGTTACTTGAAGGTCAGAACTGTGAACTTATACACGTTTCAGCTTCGAGACACCTAGAAATCGTGTTGGATGAAATCCCATTATATCACACACAGCTGCCACCTCGCCGGAGGTGCTTTGCTAACAAATCACCCTTTACAGTCTTATACACTTCCGCTTCCTTTGCAGCACCTGGGGCAGGCGTCCTCGTCTTTAAACGCTGTGCACAAAAACCAAAGGACATCTGTAACCTCCGACCCCCAGTTTACCGTCACCCATGCCTGGGTCCAGGACGGTGACAGCCAGGACCCTGCATCCTCAGGAGCCAGGGCACTTTTCAAGTAAATGACACCCTGGAGAAACAAAGCTTTCCCTGCTCCTCTCAAATCTTAGTCACGTGACCTTCTTTCCATTCTTGAAAGGAAAAAAAGGATTCAAGCGCATCAAAACCCCCAGTTTGACCTTTGAAGACAGAGCAGGAGAGAATCATCAATGCAAATCACAACTGCAAGAAGCAGTATAGAAAAATCCAGAAGCCCTCACACCGGTAGGTGTGAAGTCAACACCCCACTCTCATCTCCCCAGGTCAGAGCTGGGAGAGACAGCTGTCCAAACCCTCATTCACACACTTCACAGACGGCCTTCATTATGCCACAAGAGTTGACGTCCCCATTTCACTGAGGGGAAGGGACGAGACAGTTCTAATTAACTGACCAACGTGACCAGGCAAATCCCAGAGGAGGACCTGGGGTGGACTCAGGCCTGGTGGACTCCCTGGACAGCTGTTTCCACTGCACAGTGACCCGTGAAAACCAAAGGCCAACACAGACTAACTGACTTCATCAACATGAATGGCAAGAGGCTGGAGACGGATAGGGCGTTAACACCCTCTGCTCAAACATCCTTCAAGGGGTTTCCAACACACCCACCCTGAGCTGGACTCTTAATCACACCCCACACCCCACTGACCCCCTCCTCACACCCCTCTCACCCCACTCACACCACTCACCTCCTCCTCACGCCCCACTCACCTCCTCGCGCCCCACTCACCTCCTCCTCACGCCCCACTCACCTCCTCCTCACGCCCCACTCACACCACTCACCTCCTCCTCACGCCCCACTCACCTCCTCACGCCCCACTCACCTCCTCACGCCCCACTCACCTCCTCACGCCCCACACCCCACTCACCTCCTCACGCCCCACTCACCTCCTCCTCGCGCCCCACTCACCTCCTCCTCGCGCCCCACTCACCTCCTCCTCACGCCCCACTCACCCCACTCACCTCCTCACGCCCACTCACCTCCTCCTCACGCCCCACTCACCTCCTCACGAACCACTCACCTCCTCACGCCCCACTCACCTCCTCCTCACGCCCCTCACCTCCTCCGCACGCCCCTCACCTCCTCGCGCCCCACTCACCTCCTCGCGCCCCACTCACCTCCTCCTCACGCCCCACTCACCTCCTCGCGCCCCACTCACCTCCTCGCGCCCCACTCACTCTCCTCAGCCCCACTCACCTCCTCCTCACGCCCCACTCACACACTCACCTCCTCCTCACGCCCCACTCACCTCCTCCTCAAGCCCCACTCACCTCCTCCTCAGCCCATCACCTCCTCAGCCCCACTCACCACCTCCTCGCGCCCCACTCACCCCCTCTTCGCGCCCACACTCTCCCCTCAAGCCCCACTCACCTCCTCCGCCCCACTCCCCCTTCGCGCCCCACTCACCTCCTCGCGCCCCACTCACCACCTCCTCGCGCCCCACTCCCCCTCTTCGCGCCCCACTCACCTCTCGCGCCCTCTCACCCCCTCTCGTGCCCTCTCACCACCTCCTCGCGCCCCACTCACCCCCTCTTCGCGCCCCACTCACCTCCTCGCGCCCCTCTCACCCCCTCCTGTGCCCCTCTCACCCCCTCCTCGTGCCCCACTCACCCCCTCACGCCCCACTCACCTCCTCACGCCCCACTCACACCCCTCTCTCGCGCCCACTCACCTCCTCACGCCCCACTCACCCCCTCCTCGCGCCCCACTCACCCCCTCACGCCCCCTCATGCTCGTTCGACTCCCCCACCACAGGGTCCTGGCCCAGTCCCACCGCCTGTGTGAAGCTGCCCTCCTCCTACCATGGCCAGCACTGCCTTCTTGCCTCCCGCCCTGCACAGGAGGCCGTTGCTTTTAGTCTCCATGCCTCTGTTGACAGAGCAGGATCCAAGCAGCATCTGCACCTTTGGCCTCCACTGTCGTGCAGAGATCCTGATATGGTCAGTGTCCAGCACACACTGTGCCTCAGAGCCTGTGGTCACGTCAGTAGCTCCAGCCTCCCCCTCCCTCTTTTACAACTCCAGCTACCTAAGACGAGTGGGAAAGTGACCACTTTGTTCCCGTGACAATCTGTTAACAATCCTCCTCAGGCCAGCAGCTCAGGTCACATTTCCACAGCTGGACATAAGAGAGTGGTTAGGAGTGGGCTTGTGGTCAGAGAGAGATAAAAACCAGATTCTTCCATGAGTTGCTGCGGGACCTGGCTGGGATTATTGTTTTCAGATGCTTGTTTGTAAAACCACTGACGATGCTCCAAGGATCACGTGAGATGAGGTCTACTGGGGACCAAGTTCGCACGGGCGCCTGTGAGGTGCCCCATAACCACCCCCCAGGCCGTCTGCGCCTCACCTTGTCACACGTGCAGACTGCTCGGTTTATCTTCGCTGTTTTCTCATTAATCCCAGCTCCCTTGGGTCCCTCTTCAAGCCCAGTGAAATGGGAGCTCACCCTGTGGGCCTCGCCATTATCACCAACCTCCAGATACACCTTCTAATTGCTTCCAAACCGACCTCAACACCTGGCACTTTCACGTTGTCTCCCTTTTGTCTGTCATGCTCTGAATCTACCTGCATTACCATCACTCCGTCTGCCTGTCCATCAGTCCACCTCCACTCGTCATTGGTCTCTGTCACATGTCTTCTTACGTCTACACATCTATCCTATCTGTCCATCCGCCCACCTCACCCGCCATGATTCATACCACACCACCCACACGGCACAGACCTCCGACCCCACTCTAAAGCTCACCCCTATAATTAAAGCCCCACAAACTCTGGCACTGCTGCTAAGTTTTCTCTTCCTTTTACCCAAAGATAACCAGATGGAAACTTGTTCTGCCTTTTCCTACCTATTGTCAGGCTTTAAGAAATGCATCCAACTCATGAAAAATCTACCTTTTCATCTTAAGCTCCTATGAACACACGAACTTTGCACACACCCATGTACTGTCTTTTTGTAAACGTGTCATCAGTACAAACAAGTGTAAATGACTGCCACAAAGAATGTGAGTTCCGCACACTTCTCACAGCGAACATATTTAAGAACCAGGATGTCACCATTCTGTCTGCGAAGCCATTCTGTCAGCCTGAGCTGAGGCCACAGCAGAGACCAGGACCCCAAACCCTTCTGTTGTGCCCACCATTAACCTTTCATTTGCTGGAAAGCAGACATTTACAACTGGCAGGAAAACCTCAGTCGTTAAAGCTAACCGGGCCATCCTGGTGCACAGCACCTGGGCATCACCTGCTCACCACACCTGTTGCTGAGACAAGCCCTCGGGCATCGGGGTCAGGACGGCCTCTGGGTGCCTGCAGTCCACGTCTATGAACAAATTCTGCTCTTCTTCAAGACCAGATCTGTGATCTTAAAAAAAAGAAAACAGCCAAAATGCACACATTTCATGCTGAAATTCTGTGTTTTCAACATTACAGCACTGGAAACAAGGTGTCCAGTAAGTCTTTCGTGTAGACCTCAAATTCACATTTCTAACCAGTTATCATTAAACTGAGTTTAACAAACCCAATAAAATATCCTTCCTATGAGGGTAACATGGTATTGGTATTTGAAATCTTCAAGTTTACCTTCAAAACGCAGAGGTAACCTGACAGCTAACGGCGAAGGTGCGTCTTACCCTAGGCCACACTTCAACCAGACAGAAAGACAGCGCCTGGGAATGGCTGAGACAGACACTCACCATCAGGGGAAGGAATGTGAGTCCGCAGACCGAGACACCTGCACCCCCATGATCACAGCAGCACTAGTCACAGTAGCCAAGCTAGGGAGTCAGCCTAGTGCCCACCAACTGCAGAAAGCTTAAAGAAAATGTGGTGGATGTACATAATGGAGTATTAGTCAGCCCTAAAGAACGAAACTGTGTCATCTGCAGGAAAATGGATGGATCAGCATGTTCAGTGAAATGAGCTGGACTGAGAAAGGCAAATGCTCCTTAAGAGCAAATGACGGGAGTACAAAACAGGTTCTGTGGGAACCAGAGCAAGGTGGCAAAACAAAAGGATATGGTGAAAGGGGGATATAGTTTATACACATGAAAAACCTGTTGAAAAAAACAGCAATCAGGGAAAACTCAGGTGGGACTCGGTGAATTTCTTGACTTTCTGTCTGCCTCTCACTAGAAATCTGAAAAGGCAGTTTTCCAAAAATAATAATGTTTAAACCAAAACTAAATTCATTTTTAAAAACCAGAGATAGCTAGCTATGTTAAAGACCGCACAACATGGCTGGGGACAGATGAGCACAGAAACTTTCAGGGCACAGAAACCTGAGCTCTGCTGGTTCAAAGATCCCAATGCCTGGCAGCACAGACAGAAGCTGAGGGTCTGTAAAACCCTGCAACATCCCACTCCTTGCCTGGAGACTGGACGGCTGGGTTGGCGGGGCTGGGGTGGCGGGTCTGGGCACGGAGTATTCTTAAGGAGGTTTCTGGGTAATTCTGGGTATATCCAGGACCAGGAACACTAGCTTAGTCTGAAATGCTCACTTGGCAGCTTGGGGAACAGGGAGGTAAGGCTTAGAGACTGGCCTGTCAAGCTGCTGTACCCCTCCAGCTAACCCCAGGGACCACCCTCAAGCCAGAGATGAACCCCACCTCATCTCACAGGTACACCCAGCCCTGGGGGCCTCTCCAGTCCACAGATCCCAGCTGAGGCCTGGGGTGGGGGTCCAGGGTGGGCATTTCTGTCGGGTCCCCAGAATCCAGGACCTGGACCACGGTGACACAGACTCACTGTGAGCCAGGGACCCACAGAACGCAGACCCAAGTCCCAGCTCTTCCCACCTGGTGCCCACACACTGCTGGCACCTCGGCCAGGGCACTGGTTTGACTGCGAGTATCCCAGGGATGCACTCGTCTATCTCCTTCACCAAGGGAACACGCTGGGTCCCAACTGCCTCCAGCAGCTTGTGTGAGATGCTGAGGACTTTGTCAGCATTGGAAAGTTGAGGCTGGTGAGCCTTAACTCCACGACATGTGGGGTCCCCAGGCTACTCCTGAGCAGACCCGGGGTCACACAGTGTGGAAAGACGGCAAACGCTACACATGCACCAACATGTGAGCACCAGAAATCACGCAGTTCCCACCCTCCCTCCTCGCCACAGGATGCTTGGTCATTGGTGCTCAGTGTGGACAGACGGCAAACGCTACACATGCACCAACATGTGTTGAGCACCAGAAATCACGCAGTTCCTTGCCACAGGATGCTTGGTCATTGGTGCTCGCAGGTGTAGGGAGCCTCCTCCACCCTGAATGATCCCACGCCTGGAGCTCAGGGACAATATACAACACCCCAGACGGTCTTTCACACACAGGCTGCACAGGTCACGGCCCGCTAGGGAGATTCAGGAAAAATATCTCCACTATAGATCCTCCCCTACCAGCATCGTTTCTAAAACCTGTTTAGATGGACACCTGCTGGCCTACGACTTCAGTCCTTGCAAGCAGGGAGCTAACACACAGTCCATGTCACTCACTGCCCAGCTTAGGATGGGTGAAGTACGTAGGGATCCATGCTGACCCCAGGGGCTACAGGGAAGGCGCCCAGTAATGAGGCCAAGAGGAGACCATGGGGAGAGGTCGGCTGCCTGGAAAACTCCTTTACTTTTCCACTTTGGGGGACATGTCCCTTTGTAGCCTCTGTCAGTGATTCTCAACACCCACAGCTACTTGGGGTCCTTGGCCTAGAACAGCGAACGCCCCCCTCCACGTGGGAGGCGGGGACAAACCCTCTCCCCCAGGGTGAGAACCCTCCATGCTGCCCCGCCAACGGAAGGCGGTGCCCAGCTCGGCTCGCGTCACGTGCAAACCCACAGGTCCCAGACCTTGCGAAATGAAAGACTTGGTCCTGATGAAGGAGCGGCCTCTCTTCACGGCGGCCTTGGTTTTCTCCAGCCCGTCTTTGGTGCCTTCCTTGGCCGCCTTCATGAGTTTCTGCATCTGTGGGGCAGGGGCAGCAGTGAGAAGCAGACTGGCTCGACACAACTCGCCGGATCTAATTTACTGGTTTTAAAAGAATACTGTCAAGTAGTCCTGGGCCCGAAACGTTACCTGAGCTTGGCTTTGCGGTTTGGGGAGGGCCTTCTCGGTAGTGTGTGTGGCTACTTGTTGTTTTTGTTTTGTTTGTTTTAAAAAAGGGAAAAAAAAAACTTTGAAGACAGAGCTCCTTTGACAGGTCACAAATGTTTCCTGCTACATTTAAGACTTTATTTTTACTACACTCACTTAGAAAACTCAGGTCTTTGCAGGGGAACCCGGTGCTCGAGGGCACAGTGTCAAATGGCTTGCCCCACATTAAATGGCTCCATTCAGCCTCAGCACTCTCCAGGAGTCCCTCCTCACATGTCCCAGGCACAGCTGGCCAGCTGCTCAGAGCAGCCACTTTGCACCAATGGTCACCAGACGCAGCCCAGAATGCGGGAGCTGAATTTGGCAAGATGGAGCCGGTGGCTAGAGAACACTTGGGCACGAGCTGCGTGAAAGTCAGGCAGCTGCCACCGCTCCTCAGATTCCAGCCCGAAAGACCTCGTCCCCCGGGCCGGACTTGGCTGGCCCTGGTTCCCTCCAGCCAGGGCCGTGTTTTAACACGCACAGTGCCACTGGTGCTGGAGAGCTCAGAGCATCAGGGCTAGCATATTATTCCTGATCTTTAAAAACCCTGACGTGGAGGTGGTGGCCAGTGGACACTGAGTCTTCTTTCAGAGAAAACCCGAGTGTCCTGTTAACAGACAGTGGTGTCCCCTCATGCTGACCTCTCAGAAGGAGAGCACCCTCTGCTCCCGACTCACTGGCTTCAGGGCTTCTGTGAGTTGTCGGACACTTCCAGCACTAGCCTTGCCCCTTGGAGCCCCTGCTTCCCAGTGCCGCACGCCCGCCTTCAGGATGTCCCTGGCACAGGACAACCTAACTGAAAGTAAACGTCTGCCCACCCCCCACCAAGCACTTCAACTCTCGCTTCCACCTGCACAGCCCTGTCTCCTACGTCAAAAACACCAAAGCCACTCTCACTCACCAACTCCTGTGTCCCTCAGCCCCACACGACCTGCCCCTCGTGTCACTGGCAGCTTCTCCTGTGCCCTCTTTGTTGGTACCCAGGGGCCTCGTGCTCACCTTCTTGCAGGCATCCAGTCAGCCTCCTGCCCGGTGCCTTTCCAAGCCCTGCTCTTTCCTAACCCACACCTGAGCAGCTGCACCCTGGCCCAGACTGACCATCAGGACCATCAGAGGACTGCAGGCTCAGGCCCCCAGGGCCCCGGCCCATGTGAGGTGAAGTGAATGACTTACCCTGGGCCTCATCCTGATGAAGGGCATCTACCTGACCTGTCCCGAATTATCACCTGGTCTTACTTCTTATCCTCCTTACACGTGGCCATACCTCCTTGGCCCTGGGGCTCACTGTCTTCCGCATTTCTCAGCTGGACTGAGCTGGGCTCCTGCAATGCACAGACCCTGCAGCCTCCAGGAAAACTCCAGATGGTGGCTCCCCCAGACTTGCCACCATGTCTCTCACTGTACTGCAAGGGAACCAGCCAGGCCCCAACGAATGGTGGGATGGCTCCGGGATGGGGGGGGCCGCTGCTACTCGAGAGCCCGGGGCACTCAGAGCACACTAAGAGCAGATGTCTAGGGTCACGAGCAGGTCACCCCGCACCAAAGGGACAGAGGTGAGATGAGGAGAGCATTACTTGACAGTGCCCTTTTAAAACACATCTCAGGAACTGACCGTCACAACACCCAAACCCAGCAGTTCTCAAGCTTTTTGGCCTAGAAGCCCTTTGCTCTGCTAAAGCTCATTATTAGCAGGGTTTTTCAGTGGTGTTGGGGATGGAACCCAGGACCTCGTGCCTGCTGGCACACACTCTACCCTGAGGCACACCCCCAGTCCTTAAAAATTATTGAAAACCCCGAAGAGCTCTACTTTATCTGGGTTTTGTTAATCTGATTGTATTGGAAGTTGAAACTGAAAAAAATTAATGCTGTCAGCATTCATTTAGAAGATAAAAAACCTATTACATACTATCCTAAATAACACATTCATGAAAAATTACTGTATTTTCCTAAACAAAAAGCTGCTGTTTTGCGTTTCTGGGACTTTCTCTCACTTTCAGACACAGCCGTACTCCGCACTCAGATGTGATGACACACTACTACTACCTGGAAGAGGTAAGTAACAATGGCTCAGAATGGACATGACCCTGAAAGCACCTGGGTGACCGCAGGAGCCCGAGCCACACTTTGAGAACCACTGTTCTGGCATAAGTGACCACTGCAGCCGCCTGGTTGTGTTCAGCACGGCCTGCTGTGAGCAGGCGTTTTCAAACGCGGGTCAGAGACCCCACACTACCTTCCGCTCCCGCCTGTGCCTGGGCCGCTGCACCTCCACGGCTCCCACCGTGCTGGCCACCAAGCCTCTCATCTTTTCCTCACAGTGCGCCTTTAATCGGCTTAGGTCATGAGAGAGCTAAGGCACAAAGAGACACAAGCTTACGTGAGGGACAGTGCCCCTCCTGATCAGAGCCCCCAACACCCTGGCCACACGGGTCCCACGGCCAGTCCCGCTGACCTGGGAGGTTAAGTGCGTGTACACTGCAGGCTGCTGAGCAAGTCAGCGCCCAGGACCATCAGTGTCAGATCACAGTCCATCCTGACCAGTAAGAGTCACGGGTCACACACTGATTCACCCTGGGAGTTCTTTCGTGTTGGTACCCAAGGGCAAGACACCTGCATTCAGGTCCACACTCTGTGTGGCTTGTTGGGGACTACCAGTCTCCAAGCTGCCTTCACAGCCTCTCCAAGTGACAGGCTGGCTGGGGTTTCCTGGACATCGGAACCCCAGACACCACCGGCTCACGTGCGTACGACCAAGCCCACTGCTCCCCTGGGGCTGTTTCTCACATCAGCCTTGACGTGGGCACTTTTTAAACAGCATTTAATAAAAGTGGGAGGCCATGTCCGAGGTAGTTTTAGAAACATGACATCTTCACCTAGAAAATCTGTACTTCTACAGAGCAGCCTTCCATCCCTGACCTGGCCCTGGCTGTCAGGGGCAGTGAGTCATCTCAACCCATGTTCCCAGGCACCCCTCACCCAAAATGCTCCACAGCTGAATTCTTTAAAGACCTCAGGCATGTCTGCCATGGCGTATCCAGTCAAACATCCCCCTCAGTTATGAGCTCCAGAGCTACAAGTACAGCTCCATCATTGGTGAAGTCCCTGTGGTCCTCTGGCACAAGTAAGACAAACCGCTGCTCCTGGAGAAGCTATTTATAATCAGAGTGGTAGAGTGACCACGGCAAATCAGTCATTTCTTCCTGGGAGTCATGACCCATGTTTAGAGGGTGTGAGAATTCTACGGAACCTGTAACAACATGGAAACCAGGCCAAGAGCATCTCAGGTTCCCGGGGCCCCTGGGGGCAGAAGTGGGGATGGTCACTGTCACAGTGGGAGGTGACAGGTCTGACTGGCTGCCTCGATGAAGACTATAAGCAAGCTGCCTGTCGACCTCACACAGGAAGTTCCCACGGCCACCACTGTGACTGCACAGGTGAGGCCCAGTCCACCCTTCTACACATGGCCACGAGAAACCCTACCAACCAGGATATAGTGGCCTGGACAGCCACAGTGAGAACCCCACAGAGAAATGTGCCTCAGCAGTGGCACCAGGCCTGTCCTACAACACCCAGTCCACAATTCACTCTTCAGGGCTCCCCCCTCTCTCCTTGGACCCCTAACCTCATAAGTTACCCAACACAACATAGAAGTTCCCTGTCAGACAAGATAATCCCAAGGCAGCTTAGGAGCTGTGTTCGCACATCTCCTGCACACGTGCAAGTGCTCACATTCAGGGCGTCACGTGCAGGACGCGAGGCTCACCTGTCTGAGGGCATCCCACCTGCTCTCTCAAGTAGTCCAGGTGGGGTGACTGCTTGGGACCTTCTAAGGGACTTAGTTTCTAAGTCTAGCATCCCCATCCTCAGTGTGCACTGTGAAATAAGGTACACCTCTCCTTTGTCAGTTTCTTAGGTATTTCTGAAAGTGTATGTCAATCAATGTCTTAAAAGTAAGTACCATGTGAATCAAAATCGTGCTTCCCAGCCCCATTCCCAGGTTATCGGAGCGCTCGCCCTACACGTACTCAGGACACTTACTTG